GGAGAGAGAGAGAGAGAGAGAGAGCAAGAGGGAAGAAAGAAGGAAGGAATGGAAGGAAGGAGGAGCTGTGAACTGAACCCAGGCACCTGACTTAGAGGCACCCCTTGACTGCTTCACTTTGAGGGAGATGCAGGAACACAGGCCCCCCGCTGACTTGGCTCACAGGGAGGGTCCACTCCCAGCCCTGGTCACCCCACCAAACAGGGCTGCGCCCAGGGCCAGCTGCCAGCCAGGGGCTCACTAGCTTCTGATTCCAGGAGCAAGGCTGTTTGCCCACCTTCTCCAGGAGGCTGTGGGGGTCCAAGAAGGCTTGGAGGCCCCTTCGCGGCCTCTGAACAGCATCTTTCTTCCATGAAGAGAAGGGCAGGCTGCTGTTCATGGAGGTGTCCTCAGAAAGGTCGCCCTGTGTCTTCTGGGAGGGCCTGGAGGAGACAGGACGCCATGAGCTTCATGGACCCTGAGTCCCCGGCTCAGCCATGGCTGGCAGGGCCCTTGAGGGCCCACACTGGCAACCCTCCTGCTGCTGGGTGGGGAGGTATGTAGGCAAGGGGCAGGGAGCCCTGGCAATGTCCACAAGACCTGTCCCCTTCCCTGGAGCCTCACAGGCCAGCGCAGTGCCAGCATGAGGAGCTGGCCAGGGTCTCCTCCTTGGCCTCAGGATACAGGTCTTCGGGCAAACTCTCCAGCAATTTTCCAATGTTTCCAAACTCCTGCTCCGACACCACTGGCCGGGCGGCCTTCTGGTTCACAGTGACGTTCTGTGTGGCTGCAGGAGAGAGGGCAGGGTGAGATCTCTGCCAGGGAGGAGGGCACTGGTGCCCCCACCCTCCTCTCCTCCCTCTGGCAGGCAAGGCCGGTCAGAGCCCTGTCTCCATGGCAACCCCCAGCTCCCCAGTGCCTTCTGGCTGCCTCCGGAGAAAGCTTAGGTTTTAAAACCACCTGCGTGACTGTTTGTGACTGTTTCTGTTATACCCGAGCTGTGCCTCCTGCGCACCCCCACTTGTGCTGCGGCCGGAAGCTCGGCCCCTTTCCCGCAGTGGGGAGACCGCTTACCCCCATCACAAAAATCCCAGAAAGCATGCCGAGAGCGCTGAGGGGTTCAGGGAGGGCTGCAGGCTTTTCCTGCCCAATATCAGCCATGCGGGGTGGTCCAGGGACCCTGAATTCCCCAGTGGCTGCCCCAGGATGGAAAGGGCTGGGAAGCAGCAGGCTGGCCCCACGTCCCCACGCCTCCTGGGTACCCTGCTGCCCTGGCACCATCGGAGCTCCTTATGGCCAGTGGCTGACACAGAATCATCTCCCATAGGCACCAACTGCCATTCACAGGAAATCGTTTCTTCTAGGCTTGTACTGGCCTTGGATTCCCAAGAGGGGCTGGGGGCACTCTGGCTTCTATACATGGCTCTGTGTCACCCACACAAGCCCCTTCTGCTTCCGGGGCCTTAGTTTCCCCACCAAACACACAGAAGTTGTGCAAAAATCACAGCTTCTAACTCCAGCTTCCTGTGATGCCAAGGGGGCTGGGTCAGATCCCTCCCACATCAGCGAAGGTCCTAGGTTTGTAGGGCATCGCCCACAGCTGGACCTTGAGGCAGGCATTTCCTGAAACTGCACGTAGTAGGTGCTCAATATTAACAGCTAAAGGAAGTTGACTGTTGGAGGCCTCGGGGGCTGCTGGACCCTGAGAAGAGGCTGGGCACATGGAAGGAGGTGGAGCTTGGTCAAGGTTATGCCAGAGCGAGAACACGGCCTTCTCCCCTGCTTCTCGAAACCCACTTCAGAAAACTCGCTGGGAGCGGCAAAACGGACACCATTACACCCAGGGCCTGGTGGTTCTTAGCTTCTTTGTTGGACCAGGCAGTGCCCACTGTCTCCAGCACAGAGAACGTTTCCTCTTCCTGGCTTTCCTGGGCACGTCCTCAGGCAGGCTTCTGAGGTCTGCCTTCATGGGTATGGGGGGAAGATGCTTCTCATGGCATCTGGGCCTCCTCCAGCCCCTGTAGGCTGTGGGGGCTGGGGAGGGGAGCAAGGGTGGGCTCGGTGGCTCTGACTACGGGTTTCAAGGGGTGCAGATGTAGCCCATGGGGACTCCTTGGCAGTGAGCAGTCCAAGGCGCCGCCCACCTTGCAACACCTCCGCTGGACTCTGGACCCTCTACTTGGTCCTTGAAGGTCACCCTGACACCCTCCGGGGAGGCCAGTTCAGGCTCTTCCTCGGCAGGGTCACCGACCTCCTGGCCTTTGCAAGCCGGTCCCTCACTCCGGGGACCCAGATCTACAGCCTCTCTGCCCTCCTGGCTGGAACTCTCTGGCATCTCCGCATCCTGTCTGCTTACCTGAGCATCGGCGCTCCCAGTAGCGGAGCAGAATGTCCTGCAGGGTCTCGTCAGCAAATCGCACCCGGAAAGGGCAGCGAGGCCTGGGGGGCCCTGAGCCTTTCCTGGAGGGCCTGCTGGGAGAGGAGAGAGGGGCCGGTGCTCAGAGCCCCCGCCGCATCCCAACACACATCCACCAGCCCCGGACTTGCTGTGACATCCTAGACAAGTGGCCTCCTCTGGCCTCTGTGGCTGGATAACGCCGGTCACAGCAGCCCGCCTTGACCGAGCACTTCCCACCTGCCAGGCAGGCTCAAGCAGGCACGTACACCATCCCACCAAACGCACTCGGCCCTACGACATGCTGTGATCATTCTCATTTTATAGTTGAGGAAACAGAGGTACAGAGATGATTTCAAGGTCATGCAGCCGCTAGGCGTGGAGCCAAGACCCGCATCCTGGTTCCAGAGCTGTCCTCCTTAAACATGAAGCAGTTTAGCAGAGAGAAGAATGAGCCCAGGAATCATGCAGTCCTGGGTTTCAGTCCTGACCTTTTTGAGCCTCAGTTTTCTTATCTGTAAAATGGGAATTGTGCCCACTGTACAGGGTTGCGAAGAAAGGAAATGGGTCATAAAAGCATCCAGCCCAGGGTCTGCAGGACCCAGAGTAAACATCACTAACTGGGAGCTGCTCCTTTTTTTTTTTTTTTTTTTTTTTGAGACAGAGTCTCACTCTGTTGTCAGGTTGGAGTATAATGGCACGATCTCGGCTCACTGCAATCTCCGCCTCCCAGGTTCAAGCGATTCTCCTTCCTCAGCTTCCAGAGTAGCTGGGATTACAGGTGTGCGCCACCACACCTGGCTAATTTTTGTATTTTTAGTAGACATGGGGTTTCACTATGTTGCCCAGGCTGGTCTGGTCTCAAACTCCTGACCTCAGGTGATCCACCTGCCTTGGCCTCCCAAAGTGCTGGGATTATAGGCGTGAGCCACCGAGCCCGGCTGAGCTGTACTTATAGTAACTGTCTATCTCAATCATGGCGCATCCCAGCCACATGACCTTCAGCAGACTATCCCCAAGTTTCCATTTGCATTTTTTTCCCTTTAAATTATAAGCAAGATAATGCCATCCTCCTGAGTTTGGTGAGTATCAGATAATTTACATGAAGCATCTAGGACATGGCCCAGCACAGGGCGTGGCCTTAATCAAGGGCATCTGTTACATGTATATTTCGCAGATAACATTGTTCCATTTATTGTTATTAATTTCAGCCTCAAGGGCAAGGCTGCGGGAGGGTCCACCTGACCCACCTATAGCTGTACTGTTTAGGAAGGTCATGGCTGACCGTTAGTAGGCACATATTTATTATGTCTGCGTCCATCCATCAGACCGCACCTGTATGTCTGTGTAGATGCAGAGGGAATGCTTTTCATCAGCCCCTAAAGAACCAAGCAGTCGGGAGGTGTCGGGACAGCGCCTGGTTACATGCTTTGGGACCCAGTCAGTCATCCAACAGTTGTCTGCTCAGGAACCCCCGCTGTCTGCTGGCTGCAGGGCCAGGCAAAGGCATAACCCAGCTGTGCCCGCCTGTCTGAAATCTCAGCATCTCCACTGAGCGCCACTGGAGCCTGTTCTAAGGCCCCTCAGTGTCCCCTGCAGGGCCTACCAGGGAATCTCACACACACTAAGGTGCTCAAGTATTTGCTCTGGAATATGAAAGCCTGTAACTCTGTCTCTGCTTTTGCTCCCATTCGAGAGAATGAATTCCGTAGTTATTTATTATATCTTGTGAGAAGCCATGTGCGTATTTGGCCTGATTGGCTGAAAGTTCTTGAGTTGGTAAATGTGTTGCACTTTTTTTTTTCTTTGAGACAGGATCTTGCTCTGTCACAGGATCTCGCTCACTGCAGCCTGGACCTCCCAGGCTCCAGTAATCTTTTCACCTCAGCCTCCCAAGTTGCGTGGACCACAGCCATACGCCACCACGCCAAGATAACTTTTATAATTTTTGTAGAGACAGAGTTTCACCATGTCACCCAGGCTGGTCTCAAACTCCTGGGCTCAAGCGATCCTCCTGCCTCAGCCTCCCAAAGCGCGGGGATTACAGGCATGAGCCACCATGCTTGGCCATGTGTTTCATTTCTAGTTCCTACCATGATCCATCAGCGGTGTCTGCTTGGAGTACTGTGTGAGAAGGAAGGGTGCTGAGGCTCAGTGGGGAAATGCGATCCATTAGTTTTGTCTGCCGTGGGTATGAGATGAGGAGGAATGATATGTATGCGACGTATTTACTCTCCCTGCTCTTTAAACTCATGGGCAGTACTGTCCACCCTTCACCCCTGCTTAAGCCTGGTGGAATTTTAACCTGAAGGAACTGTTCTGTCTTCTTCCCCTCCTCTGTTAAAACTATGGTGTCTAGGCCCAGGTAGGTTCCAATGCCTAAGCTCTTCTCTTACCTCCATCCCTTATTTTTCTCCCAATATTCAACACATAGTAAAAGCCAATAAAAGAGCGAGAAACGGACAAATGATGGCAGGATGGATAAAAAGATGGAACACAGGTGGGTGGGCTGATGGGTGAATACACTGATGGGTGAGTTAATGAAAGGGTCAGAATAGAACTGAACTATGGATGTATGGGTAGACAGACGGGGGCTGGATGATTATCCAGAGGGGTATGTAGGTTTTGGATGGCTTAATGACTAGATTAGAGATGAACAGTGTCCTGGGTTTACAAGTGGATGGAAGGATTTGCAGATGGTTGATCATTGGATCAGTGGATGGATGGACAGAAGTGTGGGAGTTTTAGACGGATGGCTGGCTAGCTGGTTGGCCAGGCAGATTAATGGATCCACAGGAGATCTGATTCGTGGGTGGGTGGGTGGGTGAATGGATGGATGGTCATGGGTTCCTGATAGATGCATGGGTGAATAGAAGGATGGATGGATAGATGGAGAGATCCATGAATAGGTCGTGGAAGGCCTGGTTCATGGACAAGATGGATGAAAGATGGATGGGTGAATGGGAAAATGAATCTATGAATGGATTCATGGATGCATTCTGTGTTGGTGGAAGACCTCATTCATGGATGGGTCGATTCACAGATGAACTGGCGAGTGAATCTTGAATCGGTGGGTAGAAGACCGGATTCATGGAAAGACGAATGTAAGGATGGATGAACGGATGGACAGGTGGATAAATGGATACATTCATGGGCGAAAGAGAAAAGAAAGGAGGAACGAAATTCTCCCGTCCCTCACCACCCTACCCTTATCCCTCCCTCACTCACTGGCTGGTCTTTCTGACTGTGCTGAATTGGGGGCGATCAGCCTTCAGGGCCCCCAGAGCAGGTGTCTGTTGGAGCAAAATCTTGGTAAGACTGTCCTGGAGGTGCGGTGACTGGCCCCTTAAAGACAAACAGGCCACATCTGGCATAAATGGGCAGGTGTCCCGCCCAGGAAACATCGATGCAACCCCGTCCCCACTAAGAAGGACTGCCGCTTACCACAGGCCTGGGAAGAATGGGCAGTTGGGACGCTGCGGAGCCCCCCGACAGTGCTCTAACACACCCCTTTGATGTTTCGGTGCTGAGGATGCTGGAGCCAGATGCGGGAGGAAACAGGGTGAGCATCGGCTGGGGGACGTCTTTCCTAGGACGACGAGGAGCCGGAGCCACTGAGCGTGGCCTGCCTCGGCCTGATGGCACACTCGCCCTCAAGGAGAGGTTGCGAGGGCTCAGCTCCCCGGCTAACACTAGCATCCTTCCGAGCCTGAGCGGCGGGGGTGGTGGGTGCGGGGACACAGGGCCCACCCCCTACCGGAAATGCCCCGGGCCCGCCCCCGGGGCCCTGCGGGGCCTCACTCAGTGGCTCGGGCTCCTCGTCTGCGCACTTGTCCCGGAGCTGGTGCAGGAACTCACGGAACCTGTTGGGGAGGAGCTCTCCTAGGAAGGCGCCCAGGAAGCTGGGGTCCTCCCTGGCCACGCCCCTCCAGGGGCACTCGCGCTCGCCTGGCCCGGGCTGCCTGGGCGCCGATGCCCGGGACGCGCCGTCCGAGAGCAGGGGCGGCAGCAGCAGGGACCGCAGCAGCTCCCGCTTCCCCGCCGCCCGCCGGGTCGCGGTGGGCAGGGCGGGCAGGCGCGGCGGGGGGCTCCCGACGCCCACCCCGGGCTCGGCGTCCCCTTCCGGCCACCAGGCGGCGCCGCCCGGCGGGGTCCTCGAGCCCCGGGAGCCCCGCGCGCCCTGGGCCGCTCGGAGCGGGGGCGGGGTCAGCTTGGGCAGCCGCGGGTGGCTGCGTAGGAAGTCGCCGTCGCCAGGGAGCCCCTTGGGCGCCACCTCCTGGGCCCCTGGGCGGGGGCGACGCCGAAACATGCTGGGCCCCGCGCTCAGCTCACCGCACCCTCAGCGCGCGTGGGTGGGGGGCGCCGGGTGAGGTGGGGTGGGCATAGTCCGGCCCCAGGCCATAGTGCCCCGGGCGGGGCAGCGCAGCGCGGTTCGGGGTGAACGCCACCGGCCCGGCGGACAGCGAGCGAATTCGGGCTAGAGCTCCCTGAGCCTCTGCCTCCTCACCTGAAAAATGGTGACGGCAAGGGTAGACAACTTTGGGGGTTGCTGTGACGTTTAAATGAGCAAGTGCATGCCAGTCTTAGAACAGCAAGCTCGGAACAGTGCCAGGCACGCTGGCCAAGCTTACACAGAGACTAGCTGCCATTCTTAGTGTTTAAAAGTTATTATTGGCCGGGCGCGGTGGCTCACGCCTGTAATCCCAGCACTTTGGCAGGCCGAGGCGGGCGGATCACGAGGTCAGGAGTTTGGGACCAGTCTGGCCAACATGGTGAAGCCCTGTCTCAACTAAAATACAAAATGTTAGCCTGGTGCGGTCGTGGGCGCTTGTAATCCCAGCTATTCGGGAGGCTGAGGCAGGAGAATCCCATGAACCCAGGGGGCGGAGGTTGCAGTGAGCCGAGATAACGCCATTGCACTCCAGCCCGGGCGACAGTGCGAGACTCTGTCTCAAAAAAAAAAAAGTTATTATTATTTAGGATTTAGTCCCAGCTCCACCACTTCCTAGCTTTGTAACTTTGGGCAAGAGCAAGCCAAATCAGCTCTCCCTGCCTTCTCTGGGCGCTCTGGTCTGCAGAATCGGGCTAATACAGCACCTGCTTCTTTGCAGCAGTGAAATGGCATCGCCGCTGGTAGAAAGCACTTAGCTTGCATTGTGTGTGTTCAAATCGTGGAAGCTGTGACCGTCATGAGCACTCTACTGGGAATTAGGAAACCTGGAACCAGATTGAAGGAAGAGAGACCTGACCAGCAGCCTCCCAGACCTGGTGGTGCCTCTGAGACCCCTGGGTGGGGAGCCTGAAAGAACAGATGACTTACCCCCAGCCCCCATGCTGATTCAGTAGGTCTCTGGTGGAGCCAAAACACTTTTGGTGGTGGTTGTTAAAGAGATGAGGTCTTGCTAAGAGGGGGTCCTGCTGTCGCCGCGGCTGGAGTACAGTGGCGCCATCATAGCTCACTGCAGCCTCAAATTCTTGGGCTCCAGTGATCCTCCTGCCTCAGCCTCTTGAGTAGCTGGGACTACAGGCATACACCACCATGCCCAGCTAATTTTTTGATTTTTTGTAGAAATGAGGTAGAAATCTTTTGTATTTATGTTGCCCAGGCTGGTCTTGAACTCCTGGGTTCAAGTGATCCTCCTGCCTTGGCCTCCCAAAGTGCTGGGATCACAGGTGTGAGCCCCCACTTCCAGCCAAGACACAGACTCTTAACAGACTCCCCCTTGGGGAGGCAGAGCCCCAGTCCTTCTCCCAGCTCTGACACTAAGGGTCTCTGAGCCTGCTTCCTGCCACCACACCCCACTCCCAGATTGTTGTCAGCTGTGAGCTGGCTTCTGAGCAGTGCCACACTCACCCTGGTGGGCTTCTGGATGGGGTCTGAAAAGATCCTGTGGGTTTAGAGCTTTCTACAGGCAGGCTAGCCCTTGGGAGAGTCCATCATCCCTGCCTGGTGCCTTTCCCAGCCCCTCCCTGCTGCCTCTGGGCTGCTTCAGGGCCATTGTGATCCGCCACCTGAGGAGCAGTGGGCACTGAGGCCTAGGCGCTGAGGGTGGGGCTGTTGTCCCCTGGATGCCCTGGCGGCAGATACTCAGGGCACTGGGACTCTGAGTAGGGCAGCCAGGCCTACCCCTTCCAGATCCGAGAGGCTCGGGCTGAGTGGCTCTGGAAGTAGAACTTCCACCCCAAGACCAGGCAGCCAGAATACAATGGACCTAGAAATTAACAGATCCAGCCGGGCGCAGTGGCTCACACCTGTAATCCCAGCGCTTTGGGAAGCCGAGGTGGGCAGATCACCTGAGGTCAGGCGTTCCAGACCAACCTGGCCAACATGGCAAAACCCTGTCTCTACTAAAAATGCAAAAATTAGCCGGGCGATAGTGGCGTGCACCTGTCATTTCAGCTACTCGGGAGGCTGAGGCAGGAGAATCGCTTGAATCCGGAAGGCGGAGGTTGCAGTGAGCCGAGATCACGCCATTGCACTCCAGTGTGGATAAGACTGAGACTCCGTTTCAGGAAAAAAGAAAAAAAAAAAGAAACCAAGGTCTGAGTGCTAGGTGTACTCCTTGCTATTGAGATGTCATTTCTTTCAGGCAGTCTCAGTTGACAGAACAAATAAATTTCTGTATATACTATTATACACACACATATCTACAGATTTTTTTTTTTTTCGAGATGGAGTCTCGCTGTGTCACGAGGCTTTAGTGAAGTGGCTCACTGCAACCTCTGTCTCCAGGGTTCAAACGATTCTCCTGCCTCAGCCTCCCAAGTAGCTGGGATTACAGGCGCTTGCCACCACACCTGGTTAATTTTTCGTATTTTCAGTTGAGACAGGGTTTCATCGTGTTAGCCAGGATGGTCTTGATCTCCTGAACTTGTGATCCACCCGCCTCAGCCTTGCAAAGTCCTAGGATTACAGGTGTGAGCCACTGTGCCCGGCCCCATCTATAAATATTCCGATAGGTAACCATCTGTACTTATAATAAGCTCCAATGCCATGCTGACATCTCCAACTCTACTTGATTACGCACGTCATTTGAGACTCTGTCTCAAAAGAAAAAAAGAAATTAACAGACCCACTTTCAAGTCCATGGTGTGCTGTTTTGCTGTGCGATGCTGGACAAATGTCTTCTTTCCCAGGGCTCCCTGGGCCTTAACTGTGACTCTTGGCTGGGAGAGGGCCGAAATGAAGCTCACAGTATTGTGAAGCCGGGGTGGGCGGCAGGGGTCATTTAGATGAGTATTTCACTGTCGTGGCATGGTTTTATAATTTGGAAATGCAAAAATGACTTTGTAATTCAAATAACAGAGTGATTCACTAGAGGACGCATCGCCAAAGACGTGTTCTGGTTTCTGTCAATGCTTCTTCCCAGGGATGGAGGGACACACTTTCTTGGACAGCTAGAATATTGAGTGGGGGAGGGAGATATTTTTGTTTGTATTTAATGGGTATGTGACTTTTTTTTAATGGCTGAGAAACACCAGATTAACTAGATGGTTTCTAAGGAGCCCTCCAGCCCTTGCGCTCTGCAAACATTCATCAAGCAACTACTATGTGCTAGACTTGGGAATTCAGAGATGCCGGAGGCTTTGAGGTCAGGGAGTTGGCTGGCCCTGGGAAGGCCTTGGAGCATGGGTGTGGGGAAGGGGCTTTCTCTTCTGTTGACAGGAAATAAGATAGGACTGGATTTTTAGGCATGCAGCCTGGGATCAGAGCTGCCCACTGACAGAGGATGCCAGACACTCCAGCAACTGAACTTGTCCGGGATCAATCCCCTTTGCTTACACACATAGAAAATGAAGCTGAGAGAGGGGCTCAGACCAGGGGTAGCAGTTGTGACCCTAGAATAATCTAGAGCGGATGCCAAGTAATATGCACATACACAGATTCCGGGGACTCAATGCAGATGGGACGTTTTGGCATCCCCTTCCTCCTGCAGCTTTCACTACATTTAGAGCAAATGCACTTTAAGCACCTTCTGTGTGCAGTGCCCAGAGGAAGGCATTGCAAATCTGACACCAGGATTTTATTAATTGATTGATTGATTGAGACGGAGTTTCACTCTCGTAGCCCAGGCTGGAGAGCAATGGCGAGATCTAGGCTTACTGCAACCTCCACCTCCCAGGCTCAGGTAATTCTCCTCCCTCAGCCTCCTAACTAGCTGGGACTACAGGCCTGCACCACCATGCCTGGCTAATTTTGTATTTTTAGTAGAGACACGTTTTTGCCATGTTGGCCAGGCTGGTCTCAAACTTCTGACCTCAGGTGATCTGCCCACCTCGGCCTCCCAAAGGGCTACGATTACAGGCGTGAGCCACCGCACCCAGCCAACACCAGGATATTATTATTATTATTATTTGAGATGGAGTTTCGCTCTTGTTGCCCAGGCTGGAGTGCAGTGGTGCGATCTTGGCTCACTGCAACTTTCACCTCCCCGGTTCAAGCAATTCTTCTGCCTCAGCCTCCTGAGTAGCTGGGTCTACAGGCACCCGCTACCACGCCCAGCTAATTTTTGTATTTTTAGTAGAAATGGGGTTTCACCATATTGGCCAGGCTGGTCTGGAACTCCTGACCTCGTGATCCACTCACCTTGGCCTCTCAAAGTGCTGGGATTACAGGCGTGAGCCACCACACCCTGCCAACACCAGGATATCATTAATAGTTTAAGACAAATAAACTTAAGATGAATATTGTCCTTATAACAGCTCCATTTCCTGAGAACCCACTGCAGGTGCTGAGCTGAAGGCCTGATGAGCAATGCCCCACAAGTTTAACCCTCGGAATAGCAGAAGTGGAGTAATGATTACATTGCTCAAATTCTTTTTCTGGCAGGAGACTGGAGCACTGAGACGTTAACAGGGTCTACCTACCTGCAAGCTCCTGATTCCATCACTGCCGCCTCAGAGATAGCTCCAGAATTTGTGTATGGGAGGAGCCTAGGGAAGGGCCACCCTTTTGGAATGGAAAGTTCATGGGCTTGCTCTACTTATTTCTGGTGGGAATCCCATGGCACTGCCAAGAGTATTTCTTTTTATTTATTTTTGAGGGGTTGGTATTATTTTAAGATGCTACTGGAGATGGGTGGATTTGAGGTTCAATGGCTTTTTTTCCTCCTTTTACTCAAAACTAAAACTCGTTTTTAGAAGTCCAGCCGGCAGCCTCCAAATGAATTTCATCCGTGCTGGGGACTGGGAGAGGGCGATGCCGTGGCTCTCTTCGGTCCCAGAGGACCTTCCAGATTCACCAAAGTTAAGTTAGTCAAGTTTTGAGCTGTAACCTGTGTTGGGCGCAGTAGCTCACGCCTGTAATCCCAGCACTCTGGGAGGCCAAGGTGGAAGCCTCGCTTGAGGCCAGGAGTTCAAGATCAACCTGGGCAACAGGGTGAGACCCCCGTCGCCAATTTTTTTCCTTTTTTGAAGAAGTCAAGTTAGGCTGGGCACGGTGGCTCACGCCTGTAATCCCAGCACTTTGGAAGGCAGAGGCGGATGGATCACTTGAAGTTAGGAGTTCAAGACCAGCTTGGCCAACATGGTGAAACCCCATCTCTACCTCTACTAAAAATACAAAAATGACTTGTGTGTGTTAGCGCATGCCTGTAATCCCAGCTACTTGGGAGGCTGAGGCAAGTGAATCGTTGGAACCTGGGAGGTGGAGGTTGCAGTGAGCCAAGATCATGCCACTGCACTCCAGCCTAAAAAAAAAAAAAAAGTTAAACTATTTTTAAAAAGAAGTTGGCTGGGCGCGGTGGCTCAGGCCTGTAATCCAGCACTTTGGGAGGCCAAGGTGGGCGGATCACAAAGTCAGGAGTTCGAAACCAGCCTGGCCAACATGGTGAAACCCCTTCTCTACTAAAAAAATACAAAACTTAGCTGGGCGCGGTGGCCAGTGCCTGTAGTCCCAGCTACTTGGGAAGCTGAGGCAGAATTGCTTGAACTCGGGAGACAGAGGTTGCAGTGACCCGAGATCGCGCCACTGCACTCCAGCCTGGGTGACAGACCAAGACTCCGTCTCAAAAAAAAAAAAAATTCGGCGTCCACGGGGCGTGGCGAGCTGAACGGGGGGCGGGGCCAGTCGTGGTCCCGCCCCGGGAGACCGGAAGTGACGTAAGCGGACAAAGGCAGCGCGCGCCGCGAGCTGTCGCGTCTGGTCGGAGCCGCGGTTGGCTTGTCGGTTTTCGCCGCCGCCGCCCTCCGTTCCTGTTCCCCATCCTCTTCTCTCGGTCCTGGGAGCCCCTGCCCGTAGTGAGTAGCGCAAGGCGATGCGAAGGGGAGGCAGCCGCCGGGAGCGGGGAGGCCGCGACCCCAACTGCTTCGGCGCCCCGAGGCCCCCGGCTCGTCACGTGACCCGGCGCGAGCGCGCGGGCCGGCCCGGACCCCACGTGCGCGTCCCCAAGAGGTCCGCGGGCCGCACCTGGCAGAGACTACGGAGCGGTCCACGAGTCGGTACAGGAGGAAAGTCGAGGCACCCAGGGCACTCCCCAGCGCGATCCCCAGACCGCATCAAATCCCTTTCTTTGAGCCTGTTTCTCCTCCGAGAAACAGGGATTTGGAGAGCGCCCATTTGGAGGATGGGTGGGAGGAATCGGTAGAATGCCCAGTTCAGAGCCTGGCACAGTTAAGTGCCCGTTGCATAGAAGCTGCTGTCGTATTTAACCTTGGGGTCCTGCCCCAGCGCCAGCCTGACACAGGTGCAGCTCAAATGACAGCTGTCGCCAAGAGCCCTTGTGGCCAAGGTCAGCCCATCTGCAGGGAGGCTGCCATATCGAAAAGCCCAGGCTTTGCTGCCCACCAACTGTGGGATCTCTCCCTCCAGACTTTGCTTTTTCCTCTGTACTATAAGGGATTGCCACAGCTGGTGTCAGAGGCCTTGACAGCGGGAAGGGACAGTGTAACCGGTGGCTGTGGTGTGTAGAATGATTGCCAATGAGATAGGATGAGCCTCTGGGAGGAATCAGGGCTGGGATCAGGAGCCTGGATTCCCTCCTTAATTCTGTTCTTGGCTTCCTGTTTGTATGTTTAAAGACACATCACTTCCTTTAGTGTGCTGGCTTTTCTCTCTGTAGCATGGGGACTGTGGGGGGCTTGGAAATATGCATGGAGTGTTCTGGTGGAGGCCGGAAGCCCTGGGATCACAAGGATAGCATCTGAAAAAGCTTGGTGGGGATTCTGCGCTTTATGGCAGAGGAAGCTCTCCCCCCTCCTGCTGATTTGCAGAGCTGTTTGAGTATGCTGAACTGGCCACCCAGCATACCAGTAATAATCCCCTAAGGTGTCCAGCAGCTCAGTTTCTGTGGCATTCTAAAGCATTTTTCGCATTGGTTCCTCACAGTGGGCAGAGTTGACAAGAATCTCATTTGACAGAGATGTCTAAGCTCAAGAGAGAATATGTGCCTGGCACTGTGCAAAGCAGCTTCAGCTTTTCATATGCACTTTTAATCACGGCCTTTCTGTAAAGCCCCATCTTATAGCTAACCTGAGGAATGGTGAGGTTTAATGTCTTATCTGAGCTTACACAGCCAGTGAGCAGAGCCGAGATTTAGATCTGGTTCGTCTGACTCCATCAGAGGCTTGGTTGGTTTTTAAACATATCCCCTATTTTGTCGTCTTCCCTCCCTTTCTCCCTTTCTTTCTTTTTCTCAGAGCACTCTGCCGTTGTGGCCGGCTGCTGTCCACAGAGATGCAGGGAGGATGGGCTCTGTCAACTAGGTTGTGGGAGGGTGTAGGTAACTTTCAGGCAGGCTTTTCCTTAGCGATTTACATGAGGACGATGAGATGAGATGATGCGGGTGACAGTTTCAGCACCATTTTCTTTCATGGGTCCTAGGAGCAGAGACGCAGTAGCTGGACAGCTGCCTGGGTCTGAACACCTTGGCAGGGAGGGGGCGGCAGCGGCCAGGTGACAGTGAAGGATGTAGGATCGCATTTACTGGCTGAGCAGGCATCTACCAGGCGTGAGGGGTGTCTCTTCCTCGCTCAGCTAGCCTAGAGTGCACACCAAGCCAGGCTGTGCCCCTGGCCCCCTCCCAGGCCGCACAGCCACGTGCGTCTCACTGTGCTCCGGAGTGTAGCAGGACCTCCTGCGGTGGCCCCTCTCCCCACCTTCTCTGTTCTCTGTGACTCTTAGGGACCTCCTCCTGCCCCACTCCAGTTTGGACACCAGGAGGCAGAATGTAGCCAGGACCTCAGGAATCACCTTTATTCATGAATCGGCTGTTAGGGCAGATGTCAAAGCCAGGCAGGCGATTTCCCGGCCTAGATGTGCCTCCCTGGCTTGTTTCTAGAATTTGCGTGTCAGTGGCATTCTTGTAAATTTGATTATTCAGGGGACCTTGACATTTGAAGGAATCACGTTACAAGGCTTTTGGTAAAGCACAAAATTACATTGTCGGTAACAGCCTTCAGTATTACCAGCTTTGAATGGTTGGGCTTTTGTCTGTAGGATTTTCTTAGACGTGAAAAATGGCTTTAGCTGCACAAAGCCCATTCTTTCATTATTCAGCAGCCAATTAGCAAATGCCCACCTGGTATCCGGCCCTGGGCTAATGGTGTACAAGGTAATGTCTCTGCCACCAGGAAGCTTGCATTCTGGGAGAGGAGGCAGACAGAGTACAGCCTGGTAAGTGTTTGGCCCCAGATTTATTCTGTTCATCTGATCAGAAGTGAACTACCTGTGTTTCGTGGGAAGCTGGAGCAGCGCGATGATAAATCTCAATGTTGCCACTGCTCTCTAGGAGCTCCCAGGCCAGGCAGGAGATAGGATTGAATACAAAACCTTCAGTTCACCAGGACTGGTGGGCGGGCGGAGGGAGACAGGGCTGCTGTGTCACCACGCTCCAGTCTAAATGGGAATTGTGCTAGCATGGTGGGGAAGAGAAGTATTTCATTTTTTAATCTTTGTCTTTAATTTTCCCAGCCACCAAGCGTCCAAGCATTTTTGTTTTTTGAGACGGGGTCTCGCTCTGTTGTCCAGGCTGGACTTGAACTCCTGGGCTCAAGCAGTCTTCCCACCTCAGCCTCTCGAAGTGCTCAGATTATAGGCATGGGCCACTGTGCCCAGCTGGAGAGCAGTTTTGAATGGCATCCCCTCTGGGAGACTGATGGAGGGCTGTGACGTGGTTGTTACAGTGCCTACTGGCAGAGGGGCAGGCAGCCCACTTGACCTGGGTCCTTACCCCATCAGACCATAGCCACGTAAGCAGCCGCCAAACCCAGCTACATAGTGACATTCAGGTTGGTGGCCCTTTTTCCTGTCGGCCACCCTGGCACATCTAGCAGTCTTGAGGATTGGCACTTCTGGTGGAAACAAGAATTCATTCTTCTTTTTTTTTGGACACAATGTTTCACTCTTTCCCAAGCTGGAATGCAGAGGCACAATCATGGCTCAGTACAGCCTCGACCTCCCAGCCTCAAGTGATCCTCCCACCTCAGCCTCCCTAGCAGCTGGGAGGTACTGGAATTTGTGTGTTTTTGATAGATACAGGGTTTCTAAGCCCCGGGCTGCTTTCTCCTTCCAGCAGCGTTGTTCCCAGTGCTGGGACACCAGTGTGGGAGCTTTGTGGTCAGCTTGAGGAAAGGGTGTATGTGGAATATTTAGAACCAAAGTCCTTCCCAGCCTGCTGCCCCAGAGGGCTGCCTGATAGGGGCAGGGATTGCAGCCTTTCTTCATTGTGGCCCAATCCCTTGTGCGTGAACAGGGAAGTAAGGGGTCAGTCTGTGAGCTACAGATTCTTCTTCTCTTCAAGAATCAGAAGAGGGAAGCCAGATGCAGTGGCGTATGCCTGTAATCTCAGCTACTCAGGAGGCTGAGCAAGGAGGATGGCTTGAGCCCAGGAGTTTGAGGCCAGCCCAGGCCACATAGCAAGACCTCATCTCAAAAAAAAACAGAATCTGAAGAGAAATTTAAGCGGCTTCTCTTTGGGCACAGCCAAAGGGTTCTACTAAGGGTGAGATGACCCAATCACAGATCTAAGAAGAGCTGAACCCTGGTAGGGCACATGGGTCTCATCAGCTCTCTTCTGGTACCTCAGAAAGCTGGCGTGTGGCTTTGTGAAGAAAGCTCAGATCTGCTGAAGAAGCCAGGCACGGGGATGGAGAGGAGGCCCTGTCCCATCTGTTCTCACAGCCACAGCGGGCCTTTCCCTGGTGCCCCCACTGGCTGGCTGGGTCTCTGGAAAAGGCTGACCAGTTACGGAAGCAGAAGTGCATCCATTAGAGATATTCTTGAGCTGGCTGGCCGGATGGGCCTGCTGCTTCTGGAAAGTTCCTTCTCTCTCTTTTTTTTTTGGCGGGGGGGTGGGGGGTGGGAGACAGAGTCTGGCCCTGTTGCCCAGGCTGGAGTGCAGTGGTGTGATCTCGAACTTCCACCTCCTGGGTTCAAGCAATTCTCCTGCCTCAACCTCCTGAGTAGCTGGGATTACTGGCGCCCACCACCATGCCCGGCTAATTTTTGTATATTTAGTAGAGATGGGGATTCACTATGTTGGCCAGGCAGGTCTCGAACTCCTGACCTTGTAATTCTCCTACCTCGTCCTCCCAAAGTGCTGGGATTACAGGTATGAGCCACTATGCCCGGCCAGAAAGTTCCTTCTCTTTCAGGACAGGTTCAGAATACACTGTTGCTCTGGGGGCTAATAACAAATGTGGCCAATGAAAGTTTTTGACCCGCACTGGCCAGTAATCCCAACACCTTGGGAGGCCAAGGCAGGTAGATCGCTTGCAGCCAGGTGTTTGAGGCCAGGCTGGGCAACATGGCAAAACTCCGTCCTTCTCTACAGAAAATAAAAAATTAGCCAGTTGTGGCGGTGTGTGCCTGTAGTCCCAGCTACCCTGGAGGCTGAGATGGGAGGATCACCTGAGCCATACTGTAGTCTGGGTGACAGAGTGAGACCCTTTCTCAAAAAAAAAAAGGAGAAAGTTCTCCAGCTTTGCTTGTGTCTTCTTTCTCTTCTCTTTGCTCGTAGTCTGTGAGTCGCTTCCTGAAGGCCTCGTGCCCCTCCGCGGGGCGTTTTCCCGTTTCCCCCTGCCTACTTCTCTTGAAGCCCCTGAAGCATTCCTGGTCTTAGGGTTTTCAGCTTTTCGTTGTGTTTGAGGACTGCACAGAGTTCCGCATCTGGACTCTCCCGTGTTGACCCTGTAGCTCCAGGGGTCAGGCAGACAGTCTTGGACCTACGATTTGTCAGCGTTGGCGTTAGGCGTTTGCTAGAAACCCCCTGCTCTCCTGATGTGCAGGGCGGTGAGCTCCAGCTCCCAGTCAGCCGCGTGTCTTCCGCGGAGGGTATTTCCCCTTTACCGTGGGTTTATCAGGACGGAGCAGCAGCTGCTGCTGGAATTCCTACCTACCACTCCTGCTCTTTGTCCTGTGTCAACTAGCACGGGGCCACTGCCATCCCCACTCTGCCTCCAGATCAGGCCCTGGTGCTGTGGGAAACACATCAGCTGAGAGTTGGTGCCCGGCGTGCACTCGGACCGCTGCGTGCACTCGGACCGCTGTCATCCAGGCCCCATCTGCCCTTCCGAGCTCTTTCCACACTGCCCTCCCCCTTCCACTCTCCGCCCTCTGATGGCCCATGCTGTCACTGCCACTCCTTCTGTCACGGCCACTCCCTCATGCCCCACCCCTCCAGCACTCCCCATCCTTTGATGCCCGGCTGGGGCTGCCTCCTCCAGGCCGCTGCCCCGTTGCTGTTCAGGAAGGATTCCTCTGCCCTTTAGGGCTCCATGAGGATCCTTCTACTTCTGCTCTGTATTTTCGTTCCCTTTTTCCCTTGTCTGTCTTTCTGGACTGGAGCTCTCCAGGGGTCTTGGCAGCCCTCACCACCACTAGAATAGCACCTAAGCGTGGCGCGTCTTGGTGACAGCACTGTGCCTGGGGGAAGCCTCTGGCAGGCTGGCCGCCCGTGGAGCCTGGAGCTGCCGAGCTGTCATCCTGTCCTGAAGGGCAAGGTGGGCCTGGGCTCTGCTGCCAGGACCCAGCTGAGGCTTTCTGCTTCCCTCCTTCTGCCATGGCAACGGCCTCCTCGTCTCCTGCCATCTCCACCGCTGCCAGCACAGGCTTCAGAAGCACCCATCTTCCCGGGTCACTCTGCTGAGCCTCAGGGTGGTTCGAGCTCGTTGCCCTGTAGGGTGCAGTTGAAGTTGCTAGAGTTGACCTGTGAGACCAGGAGCTTGCGGCGCGAGCGCTGACCGACCTTCCCTCCGGGAGCCGTGCCGTTCCTGCGCCTGCTTTGCCTACTCTTGCCCATCCACCAGCTTCAGCTTCCACATCACCTCCTCAGGGAGGCCTTCCCTGCTCCCCACACCTGTGGCCACTTTTTCCCGCTGGGCTCTGCTGGCACTCGTGCGCCTCCTCTGCAGGCCTCCCGGCAGGTGTGGTTATATCTGTAGTGTTGTTTTCTGCCTGGCTGTCTGCCTGGTTCACAGCCCGGCACCTGGCACACTCCCCACTCCTCGCCAACGGAAGACTGGACCCGATGGCAGGTTGTTGCTGTGCTCGGAGCCGGAGGAAGGCAGGCGTGGGAACTTCCCCGGCCCTCCCAGGGTCGCTGGTGCTCTCTGCTTTGTGGTCATCTTTACTGATCAGGGTTTTCTTTTCCCAGAAGCCACTGAGTCAGGTGCCATAGAGAGCATGTCAAGAACTTGAAGCCAGGCCAGGCACAGTGGCTCACACCTGTAATCCCAGCACTCTGGGAGGCCAAGTGGGAGAATCTCTTGAGGCCAGGAGTTCAACACCAACCTTTGTCATGTAGTGAGACCCCTTCTCTATAAAAAACAATTAGCCAGGCATGGTGGCACACAACTGTAGTCCCAGCCGCTCCGGAGGGTAGGGTGGGAGAGTCGCTTGAGTTCTGGAGTTGGAGGCTGCCTTGAGCTATGATCACGCCACTGCACTCCAGAAAAAATGAAAATATTAAAAAACTTGAAGCCAGGACTTGGGGTGGGTGCTCTGCGTGCAAAACACAGAAGATGCTGTTATCCAAGGGGTTGAAGCAGATTCAGGGATCCTGGACTTCCCCCTGCATGGGCAGGACGTGGGACTCATGAAGCTGGTGTGAGCCTGGCCCTCTGCCCCAGGGGCCTTTCTGCCAGGTCCCTGGACCGGCTGACTCACATCCTCTTCCTTACCCAGCAGAGTCGCAGTTGCTGATCGTCGTGCTTGAGCAGAGCCGTGGTTGGTGACAGCATGACGAGCGAGGTGATAGAAGACGAGGAGCAGTTCTATTCCAAGGCAAAGACGTACTGGAAGCAAATCCCGCCCACAGTGGACGGCATGCTTGGGGGGTATGGCCGCATCTCCAGCATCGACATCAACAGCTCCCGGAAGTTTCTGCAGAGGTTTTTGAGGGTAGGCAGGTCTGGCGTGCTCTCCAGGAGGAGAGGCTGTGGCTCTGGTGGCACTGCCGAGTCTGTGTGGGATGCCACCTTTCACATGTAACACTGCAGGGCCATTGGCTATCTCTTGGTACCTGCCCCAAGGCCTTGAGGAGCTGGGCTGGGTGGGCACACTGGGGTCTCTTCTAAAGATTGTGGACTTAGCCTCAAGGTTACCAGACAGGAGTTGGCTCTTAGGCAGAATTGAGGTGTATGAATTGGGCAAACTTCTCTGCACCTGTTGGGTTTTGCCAGGGAGGAAACCCCTGCTCTCCTGCCATGTCCACAGGTGTTTGGGCTGAGGGTGTTGGCCATTCTGGATGAAGACTCCTAGCTACATGCCATGGTTTCCACCCCTCCCCTCCACCCCCGGCCTTTTCTGTACCAGGCTGGGACCCCCAGGCCCGGAACCTCCCACCTCCTTGTGTCTCACGGCTGGCACCGGAGGCTCTGATCACCAGCTACTCCACCCAGTGCCTCCCCCTCCACATTCCCTCCCTGCACCCTTGTTCACCAGTTGCCCTGCCTCCATTCTCCCTGCTCTGCTCTGCCCTGCCGTCATTTACCTGGAGACTCAGGAGAGATTCATGCACCTGTCCAAGTTACCACCTTCAAGTGGAAATGAGCTTTCATTTTAGAAATATGTGGCCGAGGGCTGGGGCAGTGGCTCACTCCTGTAATCCCAGCACCTTGGGAAGTCAATGTGGGAGGACTGCTTGAGCCCAGGAGTTTGAGACCAACCTGGACAACAGAGTGAGGCCCCGTCTCTACAGAAAATCCCCGCCCCCCCCAAAAGAAAGAGTTGGGCATGGTGGCACATGCCTGTAGTCCCAGCTACTCAGTGGGAGGATGGCTTGAGCCCAGGACTCCAAGGCTGCAGTGAGCCATGATCACACCACTGCACTCCAGCCTGGACAACAGAATGAGATCCTGTCTCTACAGAAAGTTTCAAAGATAAAGGAAGGTGTGGCCCAGCAGTGTGTCCTTCAGGCTCATCCTCTCAAATCAGGACTTGGTGCAAGCTGGCAGCCAGCACAGACCTCCCACCAGTGCTTGGCTTGTGCAGTTCTGACTTGAGTCTAAGCCCCAGGGCTCCTGAGGAAGGGCCCTGTGTGCGGTGACAGGGTCCCTCTAGGTTATGTCCCTCTGATAGGTTATATGCCTCTGCTTTTTAGGAAGGCCCGAACAAGACAGGAACTTCCTGTGCCCTGGACTGTGGAGCAGGCATTGGGAGGATCACCAAGCGGCTGCTCCTGCCGCTGTTCAGAGAGGTGGATATGGTCGACGTCACGGAAGACTTCCTGGTTCGAGCCAAGACTTACCTGGGGGAGGAGGGCAAGAGGGTGAGGAACTACTTCTGTTGTGGGCTCCAGGACTTCACCCCAGAGCCCGACTCTTACGACGTGATCTGGATCCAGTGGGTGATAGGTGAGGGTCCCACCGCCTTTCCCTGCCCACCTGTATGTCTCCTGCCCCTCGGGTTCCCCAGAAGGTGTCAGGGACAGGGGCTCTGCTTCTGCAGCAAGTGGGCCAGTGAGGATTCCCCGATCCCCCCATGCCCACCCCCACCCCGTGCTTCCCAGCACCGAGGACAGACTCGGCCTGAAGGGTAGATTTCCTCCTTCAGGTTTTGCTTCATCCATTTGGGTGCAGTTTTTTGTTGAAAAAGCTTTAATGGCCAGTAACTTACTGCATTCAGAGAAGTGCAGGTGTTTCATAAGGGTTTTATTTTTAGTAAGACGAAAAGTTGAAGCTTTGGTATCTAGCCCTGTACCCTCTTAGCCTAACGGCACACCTCGAGTGCTGTGCCCTGGGTTGCTGACCGGAGGCAGGCCACTCCTGAGGCGGCAGCACAGGCCTGCTGTGGACACTCTAGGTCTGGCCTTGTATTTTGTGGCCTCAGAGGCCACTGTGGGGACTTCTAGGGTGGAGAAGGTCATCTGTCTGGGAGCTCCTGCAATGCCAAACTCTACCCGGGGTTCACTCCTCTGATCGAAGCCTGGTTGGGGGATGGGGGAGTCATGGTGTGTAGGTATCAGGCAGGGCTCGGAAGTCACCCCAGCAAGTTAAATTCTGGCTTAATGTGTGTCTTTAGAGAGATGACCTCTGAACCAGTTTCCTCTTCTATGGAATGGGGTTTAGTAAACCTGTTGGGACTGCTGAGAGCCAGCGAGGCCATGAGTGCACATAAAATGCTGGGCACCAACAAAGGGCTGAGTGGGGCTGGGAACTACATCCCATCCAGTGGGCGACATAACGCTTGCATCGTGCCCGGTAACCTTGCCTCTGCCCTCCCCAGGCCACCTCACCGATCAGCACCTAGCTGAGTTCCTACGGCGCTGCAAGGCCAGTCTCCGCCCCAACGGTATCATCGTCATTAAAGACAACATGGCCCAGGAGGGCGTGATCCTGGATGATGTGGACAGCAGCGTGTGCCGGGACCTGGACGTGGTCCGCAGGATCGTCTACAGCGCAGGCCTCAGCCTCCTGGCCGAGGAAAGGCAGGAGAACCTCCCTGATGAGATCTACCACGTCTATAGCTTTGCCCTGAGATGAGCCGGGGCTGGCAGGAGAAACTGAGGAACCACAGCTCGGGTGGGGGGAGCTGGCAGCTGGGCAAGATCCAGGCGCCATGCTGGCAGTTCATGAGTGTCAAGGCGCCACTAAATATAGCTGTCTGCCGTCCACTCATTATGCAGGCTTTTCTTCAGAAGGCAAGGTGGGACCTGGTGGGGAGGGTGAGACGGGAGCCCAGGCCCCGCTGCCCTGTGAGATGGGGTTGGGTGGTAGGGGCTCCAGGTCCCCCTACGCGGGAATACGGTAGTCACACCAGTAGCTGATTTCCCGGGCCCCCAGCCTGGCCTTCCGCCATGGGCCTGGCTGCCTGAAGAGGAAGGGAACAACCCCCAGCTTGGTTGTTGGGGACTTGAAGAAATGTGGTCTTTTCCTAGGGGGACGGACAGAGCTGGGCTGGTGGAACCCATGGGTGCTGCCCGATGGTGATGTGGTTGGGGTGCTCACATGCCAAGTCTTATTTGGCAGTGGAGACCTGGGGCCTTTAGAGTGTTACAGCAGCCTGCAGCAAGGGAAGATGCCCATAGCCTCACTCTTCTCTGGGCTTGAGGCTGCTCCCTGGCAGGCATTTAAAGTAAAAAATAAAATGGGGGCTGGGCACTGGCTCACGCCTGTAATCCCAGCACTTGGGAAGGCCAAGGTGGGCGGATCACCTGAGGTCAGGAGTTTGGGACCAGCCTGGCCAACGTGGTGAAACCCGTCTACTAAAATACAAACATTAGCCAGGTGTGGTGGCGGACACCTATAATGCCAGCTACTCAGGAGGGTGAGGCAGGAGAATCGCTTAAACCTGAGAGGCGGAAGTCGCAGTGAGCTGAGATCGCGCCATTGCACTCCAGCCTGGACAACAGAGTGAGACTGTCTCAGAAAAAATAAAAATAAAATGGGACCCCCACAGTGTGCGGCCCTGGCCAGTCTGGAGTGGTGCTTCTTTGCAGGGACTTGGAAACAAACCCCAAACACAGCTTCTCATCTGCCGCCTCCTACCTTACCCACTGCCGTGGGACCTTTTATCCTGATACACGAGGACTGTTAAGGCCAAAGTCCGTTTAATCTTATAAATATGTCATGTAGTCGCCTCAGTTATCCCCAGAGGCATTTACACCATCCACAATGACCAACGCAACCTGGAAGGGACTGAGGGCTCGCTGCTGGGCAGTACAGTGGGCTCAGCCTGCTCCAAAGTGAGCGCCTCACAGGAGACCCTTCAGAGGACTGGCCCCAGCCGCGTACTCATGATTGCTTTTTAGCAGAAGTCATGGTCGCTGAGGCCCTGGGTTTGGCACAAGCACAGCTGCCCCCAGAGCACAGTTCTGGTGGGTGGGGCCACGGCAGACCTGGCCCCAGAGCGACAGCAACCAGCAGGGGACAGCTTGGCTTTCAATACCATGAAGACAAGCCTATGGTGGCCCCTAGTGCCTTCTCCCCCAGAACCCACCAGACACACACTGTAACAGAACCTGGAAGGAAAAGGGGCAGGGGTGAGGCCTTGCTGGCAGCCCCGCGCAGGATGCGCTCCTGGCTTCTTGACCTCCAGCTGTACTGCCATCCGTAGCAAACGAGATCCCCACAGCCCTGGGAACGTTGAGCCTTGGTCCCGCCCAGCTTCTGCAAATGCCCTGGTGCTGCCCTCCAATTCAGAGGACATAAATATGACTTAAATCTAAGCCCTGTCCCTTTTTCCAACATGGGTGAGACTTGGGAGTGCCGCTGGGGGAAGGGGCAGTCTCTGGAAGACACGGAGCCACACCACCACTGGAGTCATCACAGCCTCCGGCTCTGCCTGGCTGGCTTTTCTCGTGAAGGATCCCGTCTCTTCTCCCAGATCAAGAAAGATCCTCCTCTAAGGTTGTCCCAGGTTCCACCACCAAGCTGACCTAAGCTGCCCATGCCCCCATTCCTGTAGCCTGAGACCTGTCAGATGTCATCTTCCATGGAGCCACTGTGCTCGCTAAGAAGGTACCACTTCAGCCTGTCGGGCAGAGGCAAGGCTTTGACCTTCACGTCCACAGGCCACGGCTGAAGGTAGAGCCGGATGGACACACGGCACAGGTGCTTGAGGGGCGGGGGATAGCTCTCCAGCTGCCTCAGGGAGTAGTGGAGTGCCTGGATCTTTTCTGCCAGGCTGCCCACAGGGTGGATATCGAAGTTTTCAGGCAGCTGGAGTTTCTGAGAGTTGGTCACCATGAGGTCCAGGACAGTCTCAGCTTTGCGCAGAAGGTCCGCGTGGCTCTCGTCTTCCGTGCAGCCTGGGTGGGAACAGAGCCTGTCGAAGATGATGTGGAAGCCGGACCAGCAGGACGCGCCATGCAGGGAGCAGTTGTAGGCGGCTCCGGACTCCAGCAGGAAGCGCAGGAGGGGGAAGTGCAGTTTAAAGCTCTTGAGGCAGATGTGGGTGAGGGACTCATGGGCCGGGCACTCACTGGGGTCAGCCCCGTGCGCCAACAGCAGCCGTGTGACTTGGAAGCAGAAGCGGTTGATCATCTGGGCCTCCTCTTTGTCCCCTCCCACAGTCTCACCAAGCAGGAAGATGATGCAGGTGAATACCGTGTCCCCATCTTTGGTGGTGGCCTTGACATCGGCCCCTAGAAGAGCCATAGAACAAGAGATGCTGGGAGAAGGCCTGCAGCCCTGACACAGCGGCAGCACACACTAAAGGGGCAGGGACAGCCCGCAGACTGAAGTGCACACGACAGGTGAGGGGACGAGGCCTCGGAACGCGCCCGCCTCACCTCCTTCCAGTAGGAGCCGGATGTTCTCAGTATTGTGGATCTGCACCCCGTCACTGCTGGCCAGAGCGTGGAGCAGAGCGGTCTTTCCTAGGGAGGGAGGAGGGGAGAGCGAAGAGGAGCGGGAGGCCAGGAAGCCCCGGTCAGGGCAACCCAGACACAGAGCATCAGAAGATGAACTTTCAGAGACAGCTCTCAGCTTGGGGGAGGGCTGAGGGTGACGGGCTTCTGGCCATTCCCTTTCCACCCAGAGAAGTGGGAGTGGAAAGGCCAGGAAAAATAGGATTTTTCAGGACCCAAGTGGCTACCTGAGATGCGGGCTGGGCCTCTCCTGCCAGGCAGCCATTGTTTCTTGGAAGCTAAACGCACACACATACCCTATTTCTTCCTATAGACGGCCCTTGAGGGCCAGCACAGGGACAATGACTGCAATGCCTCTCGAAAGCCTAAGCTCAGCAAGTCGGCAGAATTCCCATGTGCCCAGCTGTGCTGTGCCACCAGCCAGGGCCAGCATCCAGCCTGCCCACCCAGCTGTCGTCCTGGCACACCCTGGGGGTCCCCCACAAGGTGCCTGGGGGCCCAGCTGTCCTGCTTTCCTGCAGGAGGCACCCACCATGCTTGTCAGCAGCATTGACATCCGCTCCAAGGTCCAGGAGGCGCTGCAGGCAGGGCAGGCGCTCAGGCTCCTCGCTGGCCAGGTCCAAGGGGCTACTCTCATGGATCTGAGCCAAGCAAGCACAGCCAGGTTGGCCTGGGAAGCTGCTCAGGCCCCCGCCCCCCAACTTCAAAGCAGGCTGAACTGGCACTCACCCGGTCCCGCCGATTAATGTCGGCCCCGTGATGCACCAGCAGCTCCACCATGTCCGGCTGGTTCCGCAAGACGGCAATGTGCAAAGCCGTGTAGTAGGTGACTGGGTCTGAAGGTGCAGATGCAGCTTGTGTGGGTCCTGCCTCTCCACATTCTCATGGGGCCCCCGACCCAGAGCCCAGCCCCACACTCACACCTCAAGTGTCCAGAAGCCACAGGCCCAGGCTCCTGTCACCATCAAGGGTTAGGACAGAGCTGTCTCACCAGATACCAGAGGGCCCTTGGGATGTTCTAGTGGGCACAATACTTAAGATGTTGGGGCTTTAGTTTCCTCTTCTGTAAGAGGGGACCATAAAACGGGGCACCCTCTCAGGATGGCTGGGAGCCGTATTAGGCTGCAGCTCCGTGGCTACCCCACTCTGTAGGCCTGGTAGTAACAGCCAGGTTCTCCAAGCTGGTCTCCAAGGCACTGGCTTCAGAACCCGCCCTTCCGTCTCAGCTCCTTGACCCTCCAAGAGCCCAGCAGCCTCCAAGCCTGTCTTCGGATGGGGAAAGGAGATGTGCCTGGTGGCATCAGGCCCCCGAGAGGTTACGAGGCAGCCCTGCCTGGCTCCTGACTAACCCTGCCCTCCCTGGGGTGAAAGCCAGAGAGAAAGGTGCATGGCTCCATCTCCACCCCTGGCACTCAGGAGCCAGAGCCAGCATGTCCTGCCGTGACTGTGGCCTGTTTTCTCCTCTCTCTATGGCATGAGAAAAAAACACAAACTGACTCAGAGTTAAGTGGCAGAAAATTACCTTCCCTTAGCTCTGGGCACAGTGCCAGCAGCCACATTTTCAGGTTAATGGAAGTGGGGATTAATCTGGGAGCTGGGGAAAGTTTGCTAATCAATCACACAGTAGAAGCAGCAACACTGGCTCTTGGAACAGAGGTGGGAAGAGCCATGTGAAAACCCGCATGGGGTGGGAAGCCACATGATGGGAGTTTCCTTAGTTGCTGCCACCCAGGAAATAAACTGTGGGGGAGGAAGTCATTCCTCAGAATCCGAGGCTGGAGACATGGGCGCCCACTCAGCACAGGGCCATGTTTAAGCCGCCTCCCCACCCCCGGGGCTCTAGCTGACCTTCAAAGTTGAGATTGGCCCCATGCCGCAGGAGAACGTCGGCAGCTCGTGTCAGCCCCAACTCAGCCATCTTGAGCAGGGCGTTGCTCACGCCTTCCTGGTAAAAGGGAGAGTGGGCTTTCCTCTCCAGCAGCTCGGTGAGAACAAGGATTCGGCTCTCCTCGCTGGTGACATAACTGGGTCTGCGGCAGGACAGAGGCTGAGGGTAGGCACAGCTGTGGGACCCGCTGACCGGGCAGCCTGTGGGTGCGTGGCCTTTGTGTCCTGCTGCAGTCAGCAAGCAGGGGCCCGGCTCTGTGGGGCACGGAGGCTTGGGAGAAGCTCTGAAGTAGAGAGGGCCAGGTGCATCTCTTAAAGACGGGAGCAGACTCGGATTTGCAGAGAACGGGCTGGGCCTGTCTGCTGTCTCCTCCCAAGCTGCCCAGAGTCTGGTCCCACGCTTGGGTACAAAGCCTCACAC